TATTTTTTTAGGAAACCTGTCTGTCTGGCAAAGTAATGTCAACTATGGTTTAGCATTCACATGTTTACTCTTGCTTCTACCAGTTATACTGATATACTTTACTAAACAGGTACAGTTTGCATGCTTAATTTTACCCTATTTGGTAAACATGTCAGTATGGATTCTGGCATTTTATGTTTCAAATTCAAAACTTTTATCTGTCAAAGAGGAAAACAAAGTTTTTAATGTTCAATTACATTGATGTGCATCAGATGTCAATTAAAAACCTAACTTTGATTAAAATCTGCAATTATATTGAGAGTTGTTTGATTTATGATTAGTATTCTTAGTAAAATGAATTACCCACTGTACTCAAGTTAATGCTTGAGAACAAAAATAACAACTGAAAACGTTATCATAAAATATAAAATTTTATTTTTACTGACTTATCCTTCAGTAAAAATATCAAAATCAATAAATTGTGTACTAGTACATTTCTAACCAAGATTTCCAATGATATCATGAACAAATTTTAAGGCCTGGCAAGATTTATCGGATATTACTTAACCCTTATCCTGCAAGCTCAATGTACTTTTACATCGACTTGACCAGATAAAAGTTAAACTAACAACTTGGAGATCCTTCTTGATTGCAAAATCACTTGCAGACTGCCACATAATTATGAATTAATTTTGCTTTTTCTGTCAGTTAAACATTATAGCCTGTTGTTTTGTTGGATCGTATTTGTGTGTGTCTGGGATTAGTTGCTACCTGTACTCAAGTCTTGGATATATTGTAGTGAATCCATTGAAAAGAATACTAATGCCAGACTTTGATACTGCATATACCAGTGTGCCTTTTCAACAGAATGGTAAGCAATATTATCAATAGCAGAACTTCGCCATGAAAATTCACGGGACTTTTATTGTATTGCTGTTTGTTTATGACATCTGGATGTTCTGGCATGGAAAATACAAATTCTACATAAATATTTTTGTTGCTATAAATTTTCACGATCTGAGGGCATGAAGATGAGATTTTGCAAAATGCACTGTGACTCTTTAGAACACCAGGGAAAGTCACCGTGACTATCTAGGAACCAAGTGAGTCACTGTGACTATCTAGGAACCAAGTGAGAGTCACTGTGACTATCTAGACACCAAGTGAGAGTCACTGTGACTATCTAGGAACCAAGTGAGAGTCACTGTGACTATCCATGAACCAAGTGAGAGTCACTGTGACTATCTATGAACCAAGTGAGAGTCACTGTGACTATCTAGGAATCAAGTGAGAGTCACTGTGACTATCTATGAACCAAGTGAGAGTCACTGTGACTATCTAGGAATCAAGTGAGAGTCACTGTGACTATCTAGGAACCAAGTGAGAGTCACTGTGACTATCTAGGAACCAAGTGAGAGTCACTGTGACTATCTATGAACCAAGTGAGAGACATTGTGACTATCTAGGAACCAAGTGAGAGTCACTGTGACTATCTAGGAACCAAGTGAGAGTCACCGTGACTATCTAGGAATCAAGTGAGAGTCACTGTGACTATCTATGAACCAAGTGAGAGTCACTGTGACTATCTAGAAACCAAGTGAGAGTCACTGTGACTATCTATGAACCGAGTGAGAAACATTGTGACTATCTAGGAACCAAGTGAGAGTCACTGTGACTATCTAGGAACCAAGTGAGAGTCACCGTGACTATCTAGGAATCAAGTGAGAGTCACTGTGACTATCTAGGAATCAAGTGAGAGTCACTGTGACTATCTAGGAACCAAGTGAGAGTCGCTGTGACTATCTAGGAATCAAGTGAGAGTCACTGTGACTATCTAAGAACCAAGTGAGAGTCACTGTGACTATCTAGTAACCAAGTGAGAGTCACTGTGACTATCTAAGAACCAAGTGAGAGTCACTGTGACTATCTAGTAACCAAGTGAGAGTCACTGTGACTATCTAGGAACTAAGTGAGAGTCACTGTGACTATCTAGTAACCAAGTGAGAGTCACTGTGACTATCTAGTAACCAAGTGAGAGTCACTGTGACTATCTATGAACCAAGTGAGAGACACTGTGACTATCTAGGAATCAAGTGAGAGTCACTGTGACTATCTAGGAACAAAGTGAGAGTCACTGTGACTATCTAAGAACCAAGTGAGAGTCACTGTGACTATCTATGAACCAAGTGAGAGTCACTGTGACTATCTAGACACCAAGTGAGAGTCACTGTGACTATCTAGACACCAAGTGAGAGTCACCGTTACTATCTAGGAACCAAGTGAGAGTCACTATGACTATCTAGGAATCAAGTGAGAGTCACTGTGACTGTCTAGGAACTGAGTGAGAGACACCGTGACTATCAAGGAACCAAGTGAGAGTCACTGTGACTATCTAGGAACCAAGTGAGAGTCACTGTGACTATCTAAGAACCAAGTGAGAGTCACTGTGACTATCTAGGAACCAAGTGAGAGTCACTGTGACTATCTAGGAATCAAGTGAGAGACACCGTGACTATCTAAGAATCAAGTGAGAGTCACTGTGACTATCTAGGAACCAAGTGAGAGTCACTGTGACTATCTAGGAACCAAGTGAGAGTCACT